CATGTATACGCGTATGCATGTATGTATGTGTATCACGATCCCCTCACAGAAGCTCGCCATGGCATTGCACAGCAGCCGTGTATCTGACAGTACCTAACGTGCTTTCGAAAGCGCTCATTAGTCACTGAAATGCGGTCACGAAGTGACAACTCGCACGTGGAATATTATACGCTCCAAGAACTTGCATCGGTACTCATATCGCAGCTCGTATGCTCATGCTCGCGCCGACACGTCTATCTCTTTCCTCTCCCTCACTCCATCTCACCGTCCCCCTCTCTCATTCTCGTTCTGTGTCCTCCACCTCTGTTTGTAACTTTCGTATTATACACCCTTTGTCCGCGATTCGACAGTTTCGACAGTTTTGCAATGGAACGTGAGAACGCGACCGTCCGAGAGAAGCCGCTGGCAAACGACGTTAAAGTTCGATCGGCCGGCCGCATCTGGGACCGCCAAAAATTTTTATCCTGCTCCGTTGTGATGTACGCGCGTACATCGCTTTACGAACTTTCTATACGAACGCATACGCGGTCTCAATACGTTTTTATTACCGGCGGATCCCTCGCAAAATTGCTGCGAATTCACGTTGCGAGACATTGATGGAACAGTCTCGTCCATTTTTGCGGATTAGAAACTTTGGTTGCCTGGATACGAGAACAATGTCGTTTATTCACTCGGAGAGATAATCATTTCCGAATAATTAATGCATCGAATTACACGTAAAAGTTAGTAAGTTGAACTTATATGATCAACACGGTGATTTTAGAAAATGTGTCATCATAAACGATAGTCGAGCTAATTTTTCTCTGTTGAAGGAAATCGAAAAGTGAATTAGTGCCTCCATATTCCCGGAAATAATCATTCGCGCGCAAAATGTTTCTAAAATCAACACCTTTATAATGCATTTATTTAAGTATCGTGTTTCGCTTCCTCGTGTCTCTGATACCTAGAAGAGAAGTACCGTTTCTACGATTACAATCCGCACGTTCGCCTCACTCTTAGGCCTAACCGACGTCAAACGTCCCTGTTAACGGTCGTTTATTCCGAAGATAATGAGGAAGATGTTCGCAGGGCCTGAGGAAAGGAAATTGTGTACGAGAGTCAAGAGAGTGACAAATTAACTCGCGCCTTGACTTCCGTGAGATTCAAATCCTTCCTCTGCTTCTCGAATGGATCTCCGCATATCACCGGAGGTGGAAAACCTTACGGAAATGTCAGTCGTCAAGCAGGTACAAAGTTTAAGAGAAATATTTAACCTCCGATACGAGAAACATCTTTCTCATGCTAAAAATGTTTCTGTATACTTCACCAAATCGTGTATGCTTAACGCTTTGATTCACCGCGATCCATCGAATGCAAAACTTAATTAAAAACGTGGATATATTGTACAAATGCTGCAGATCGTAATACAATTTGAATTATATAAAAGAACTTTAATTTTGTAAGATACATTGAAAAAAATTGATTGAATTAATCTAAAATATGTATATAACAATAAGACTTTGATGAAATATAAACGATTCATGATCATGGTTATAAAATAACCAAACAAATTTGATTGCATACATTCCGATTGATAACCAGACGTATTTGGTTATACGAATTCTCGAAAATGATAAAATCTTTGGTTGTAAAATATCAGCTGAATTATGACAATCAGAAATTCTGTTTAGTTCTATTAATCCTTTAATCATATATGTCACATAACCCAACCATGCTCTTTTTCATATATATATACATATATATATCTTTCTTACTCCTTAATAAAATTCCTTTGTAAACATATTTTATAAATTATTGTGTCATTTTATGTCTTATTTCTAAGCATTAATTATTTGTATATTTTTTATGAGTCGTATATCTCTATGGGATATACGGTAAAAATGCAAAGGTTTCAAGAATTTTTTTTTAATACAAAAAATAAGTATTTCAGATTCCTAATACCTTTTTCATAGAAATAGACAGAGTATAAAGTTTTTACTGGTACAGTTCATTTACCTTAAATATAGTAAATAATATTTGATAAATTAAATTTGTGATATATATAACGTATATATCAGAGTTACTGATACTTATGTATAAACGTATTAAGGTTATAATAATTTTTTTAGACATGCGGCAAAAAATTTTAAATGATATATTTATAAAATGGAATTTTATTTTTATTATGAAAATCTGTCGATATGATATCACGTGCAATTTTAAAAAAATTTCTGAGGAGTGTCCAATTAAGATGCTAATATGTCGGGAAGCAGTGGAAATGAAGTGGAACGAGGCTTCATTATAATTTTCGAGGCAAGCGTCAATCACTATATCATACTTTCAATGGAGATTGGTTATTTATCTGGAGTCTACTCATTCATCCTTAATTAACGTAACTGTGCGTAATATCCAGATGTTTCTAAGCTAAGAATCATGATCGGCAGATTTCTTCTTAGACTATCCAAGGTAATTTATATCGATCCGCTCAAGCTTAAAGGGGAGGAGGAAAACGGAGTGCCGTTGATGTTAAAATCCCTCATTATCCAGGAAAATCATGATCATTATCGTATTTTATCTTTCTACTTGTCACTTATAAGACTCAACTTACTTACTGCCTGAATCGAGAAAAAGTTTAAAGGCATATGAGAAACTTTAAATAATGAATGCCTCCTGAATAAAAAATCCTCGATCTCGAGGTTCATTTATCGAGACGTGGAATATAAAATTAATAATATGATTCTATGCACATTATAAAATAACCACAAATAAAATATTTCATTTATTTAATTTGTAAAAGAATTTAAGTTATCAGTTACTATTTTCTTTCAATTCAATAAATCATAATTAGATATTTTAATTATTCTCTCTCTTAATAAGTATTATTTTTAATAAAGCGATAAAAATTTCATAATAACGGATACTTATAAAATATGTATTTGCATTATTATATGAAATATTAAAAAAAGTGACACGTGTATATATCGATTGACATACTTTCTTTATATTTTACCAATATCATCGGAGAAACATGTTAATATCGAAGTATCAATAGATGTGTAAGTTGTCACGTATCTATATAGATTATTAAAATTGTGTATAAATACACTTATACACTTTCTTCAAGTAGCTTTCCGTATATTTCCTTCAAATAAAATCTACTGGAGGTTCAATATGAGGACAAGCCCACAAAAAATATAAAATCTTGTTCCGCGTAGTCTAGCACACATGTCAATATAAAACTGAAAACGTAACGCTGACTGACAGCCGAACGCATCGTCAACAATGTGTTAATAATCGTAACAGCATCCGATATCCGGTAGATATTGATGACTGGCGATCGATTCTGCAGTCTGCACTCGTCATTTATGCGGAGATATGCCTGTCGAGTGAAGCCAGAACAACGGATCAGCCGGCTCGACATTTTTCCCGACGGATACATCTTTAATTACGAGCGGGATGTCGCTGCTTTTTGCTAACTTTCGTGCCAAGCAGTGAACGCGGTCCAAGTGTGCACCATACGAATCTTATTTCTGTCCGGATTTCCTTTTACCACGTGCCTTTCTTGCGCATGCTACCTGCGATTAACCACGGTTCGTCATTCATGCCTGATCAATAAGCTACAGTTAATTGCCCACGCTGCGGTAGAACGAATTATACGTCAGAGTTCAGCGTCCCAACTGGGATACGTTCGTCTGATTTTAATTAGCGCAACGTATATATCCGCAATGAATCCGATCTATTCCAAACCAGATTAAGCGATCGTCGAGCTTTCTTGCGAATCGAGAGCTAATTTGAAATGGAAACGAAGTGCCCAAGGCTATTTCATGCACTTTTTTTGGTATCTTTAAACGTCATATACATAAACGCATTTATGTGGCATCCGAGACTCGAGGATGAATCCGCTAAACTCAAATGATAAAATGTGTAAACGAGAACATGCAATTCCGATTCGATTTTACTAACGATACTTACAAATCACTTTCTACTTTATTTATTCATACTTAGAAATGCATTTGATAATGAAAGTTACATTTAACTCGGTACATATCTCGCACGTCATAATGACCTTTTGCTATAGATATAAGCGGGAATAATCGATCAAAATCACCGAGAGGAGTATTGGGCCACGCGGATATCAGCCAACAGTTACGGTAATTAGCGCATCGCTCACAGTTCAATTAACCGCGCTAGTTTTTTTAAACGCGCGCTATACGTGCCCGTTTCTACATGTTCGCAGAAACCTGCAGAATGTCATCAATATCCATCAAACCAAATCGTAACTGCTGCCACGCGACGAGCGTAGTTCTCCAAATCGCTCACGTTCAACTTCTTAGCGTCACGTCGGAGTCATTATATCAAACTTCCTCCCATCCGATAATTCCTACCCGATAATCTCGATCAACCGTCTCCTTCACGTCACACGCACCGAATTGTGCGCGAAACGAAGAGAATGGCTCGTTCGAGCTCGAAGATTCGGTTGATCGCGGGTAACGGAAGACGGAGCGGAGGTTGCACGGCTTTACCCCGCGAGAATGAAAACTCGCGTTATGACGCATATATATGTGCATAAGGCATCTACTCTCGGAGTCTTCTTCTTTCGCTTCCAACGCTCTCCGCCATCTCGGGCCGGGGATATCGATATTGAAACGTAAAAAAGATTCAATCAGTCGCGAAGTTTCAGCGCCAATCAATCACCCCTTCCCGCAGCTCCTCGTCCGTTCAGCTTTAGGACGCGAAAGCTTCCTCGCGCGCAGCCCGCACTGGCGCGCCTGATCGCGACGACGACGCTAAAATGGCTGTGAGGGAGAGAGGGGGAGAGAGGGATGGGACGAGGGAATGAGACAAAGATAGAGAGACGGTGGTCAGGAGTGCGACAGGGAGGCATCGATGGGCTACGAAGGGCTTGGGGAGAGAGGATCGCGGATGAGAGAGGAAGTATGCCGTGGGGCCGAATGCGAGAGCGAGTTGGAGAATGAGCTTTCGGGTGCACGACGGAGTCGACTTAGCCGCTCGTACGTCGACCGGAAAACCTTCCACGTCGTTACATCGTCCTTATACGCGCCGCCGTCAACGAGATCGTAAAGGGGCCCGCGACCTACGCACCCCTCGACCCCTAATTTCGGTGTCCATATTTTTTCTTTTTTTTTCATTTTCGAATTACCGCGATCAGTTCGCATTGTCTGAAGTTTAACGCGAACGATTTATAAAAAAAAAAGGATAATATATCAAGGAAGATATATACATATATAGTGCAGTGTCTTTGAATCAATGGATCGTCTCTCACCTACGGATCTCATTGGAGCTTGAAAGTGTTAATATGAAGGCAGATCTGTGACGGGTGAATGAGCGCGCGCGTGTATATGAGTGCGTAATCGCGACGAAAGTATATCGAAGCATCATGCGAAGTGCCGCGAGATACCGAGACGCGCGTTCCACCCGTTCCGCGTCGCTTCTTTGCGTCCTCCTCATCGCCGTCACCGGTAAGAAATAGAGTCGCGTAACAGTGCGATACGATGGATTTAACCGCTGGCTTACTTCTAAACCGGAGCTCTTTTAATCCTGATTCAGATCTAAGCTCGCAGTCGTTCTACGAGCCATTCCAGAAATAAAAAAAAATGTTATTCGAAATACCAAAAAAGAAACTCTCTAACTTGATAAAATCTCCGTGTGATTACACATTCAGTTGATTATAAATATAAGCATATCGCTGTCACAAAAAGCAACAGCTATGTGAAAGATATGGATAGGAATTTATCGATCGATAATATATACTTATATAAATCATATCCTTTATCGGGAGGGAAAAAATGCCAACTCTCTAAATCTGAATCATTGGATATCATGGATTATCAATCTCAAATATACCGTTGAATAATCAATGAAAATCAATTGAAAAAGAAAGAAAGTTTGAGCATTATATAATTAAAATATCCATCATCAGTCCAATACTATTTACATTTTTACACTAAAGCAAGATTAGCTAGGGATTCCACATTTCATTGATTTTTTAGTTAAATTTCACTGTGAATTCACTGATGACCAGTGGCATACTTGGGGATGATAATCAGTGATTACCTACTGATTCAGATATAAAGAAAGAAATCAATAACTTCGATATGAAAGTGGATCTAATTTCAAGCTTAAAAGAATATAAAAAATAATTTTGGGTGAGAGAAGTGGAAAGCGGGATGATTTTATACAAGAACCAATGGTCCCAGTACTCCGCGATCAAACGTAATAAAAGCTTGATTTACTGTGAAATACGCACATTTTCTTAACAATTGTTTTATTTTCTTTTCGCAAACAGAAAAGAGAGAAAAGTAATCGTAAAAATTAAAAAGTTTAAATGTGTCTCGTAAATTTACAGTTCGGGGGAACGGCTCTGTTCACGGTTGAAATCAGAGGGTGGGTCAAAGAAGTTGATTCAGGACAAGTTTCTCGGTGTTTTGAACAAAGCAAGCGCAGACTCAATCCGTTCTCCAAACACGCCCGGATCATGATTGTATAAGGGTCGAAGTTCGGGAAAATGGTTATGGAGTCTGAGCCTTGGAGACGCGCTTCGTTTAAGGAGACTCCATAAAGCCTCAGAATTGGGATTGGGGAGAAGAAAATGGATATAGAGAACTTCTTCCGTTGTCGTTCGATTTCGTGATTGTAGCAAGATGTACGCTCGAGATACCGAGGGTGATCCCCGTTCGATGACCGCGTTTGCCGTCGATCCTTTCAAGGCAGCAGTGTAACAGCGCGATGCGCAAGATGAGAAAAACTACCGAAGCGAACTTATTCCACGACGAAAGATCGGTATGTCGGATCCAGTGATTCACCGCGATTTCCGTCCTTTTATCCGGAGCAAAACGAACGATGGATAAGATTAGAACGTCTTTTGTATCGACTTAACAAGGCGAAATCATCAATATCCGACGAAACGGAAGGTGGAACGTATCACGTACACGCCTCATGCGTATATCTTTGACAAGCCCATGAGATACCGAGGGATTTTGATTGTATTATAGAGATGGGCGAAAACCAGAACTAACGAAGCAGACATGATCAACAAAGGTCCAAAGTGCCCCGTATCGATACGAATTATTAACCATTCGGGGAGTTTCCTAAAAATTGAGCAGAGAGCAAAGCGCGATTTTTAATGGGGATATAATGTCGTTAAACGCGTTGAAACGAGAGCGATCTGATTGCTTTTTAAAGTGTTAACGAAAGAAAAGACATTGATGGAAAAGTATCTTGAATAAAACTTGTCGAAAACATCGCAAGAAGACAAAAATCATGAAAATTTTTCACATTACAATTTATTTTTAGAGATTCTTACTTTGTACTCATTGTTAATCTACTGTGATTCTTTCTCATGATTATATAATCCGTAAAAGAGCTTTCCTTCTCTTAAACTCTTTTATGATTTCTTCAATACTCTCGTCTACTTATCTGTTACCGTTGCAGCATTCAGTGTTACTACCGTTTAATTTTAATAATTTGCAAGTACTCATAATATTGTAACAAGTGATGATTTTGAATTGAATTAAAAAGAGTGAGACGAAGTGAATTGAAAGAGCAGATGATTAATTGTACATGAAGTAATGGCACAAACTTAAATTACAGTCAAAAGGAAACGCATAAAACTTACTTTTACTCTAACTTCGTAATGTAGTAAACGTTAATCAAACTACACCCGACGCTGGTGGTGCCATTCTGCGGAAGTGTGACAGTCGTCGGAACTATTAAGTTACGTGGAAGAAATGATTTTCTTCAGACTCACTGAATTTTTTTTTATGCGATCCGTACGAATCGCCGCGAGTTATTTCGCAGTATAAAATCGTCTACTTTTAATATATTCGTTAAGACGTTTGTCTGTGTAGTTCTGTGTAAATCGGAAGAAATTACGTGAAAAAAACGACTTCTTACTGAACTGTAGGAAGAAAACTTAACTATTTGCCAGAGGTGAAGACTTTTTAGCTAATAGTTTGAGGAAGATTAACGGAAGAACCACACGGCTACTAGATTTAAATCATTACCGAGTCGTTTATTCATCCACGCCATTTGCCTTGAAAACGCGCTGAAAAATTAACTTTTCGTTCGCGGATCCGTGAAAAGAATTCGATATTGATTTAAAATTGCCGGCGGTCTTGATAGCTCCGGAAAAGAAATTAATAATATGTACGCGTAAAATGCGTGAAGTGCTATGCAAATATATCGCGGCAGATCGACGGCGTGTGAACGGATAAAAAAAGATATTGATCTAATTATCATACGATTATCTTACACGGATCTATTACACGATACTTGTTCAACTTTGTATTCTCATTATGCTTGATGATAGAATTCTGATGGAACATCTCCACAGTTTATTTTTACAACGACTATTACTAAACGTACGAACTAGATTATGCTTATATTATTAACAAGAAGAAAAGAATATGTGAGTGCTTCGTATAGTCTACAATATCTTTTGTGAATAATTTTATAATTACACAGTGCGAGTAGGATAGTGCTGAAAAAAGTAATAATTGTGATAGCTATGGTTCATGTAATATAGTGCACTGACGTGTAATAACGCTAAATATTTTAAAAAATCTCTTGAAAAGCTTAATTTGTTTTATAATTCGTATTATAATTCGAAATTATTGACTCAGGAAAAACAAGAGAAAATGTTCTTATCGTGAAAATTTAACGATAATTTTATTGTCATATAAAGAAGTAATGTCGATGTGTTTTTAATGCGATTTGTGCGTGCGTGCGTGCGTGCGTGTGCGATAGACCGCACAGTGCATGGAATGCAGTCTGATTGTTTTCGATATATATGAATTAACTAATTTAAGAGTCCCTGGTGGGATTATCTAAGAATCGGAACTAAAATTTATAATGATTCTGGAATGAAAGGACATTATATATAAAATTTATACGGGAGGTTTTTATAGCATTGCTTAGAGAGACTAATAAATATAATATTATTTCTATCATGGCAATTATTGTCATCAAGTGACCATAAGATTTCTTATTTAAACTTTCAATACCGGATATGACAGATTGATTAGGTAGAACAGTGCAACGATAAGCGGTGTAAGTTCAGGATTATAACTAATGGAGAGTTTTAAAATAATACCCGTTATACCATCATTATAAAAATGATATCCGGATCTAATACCCAAGAAGTAATTGGATCATACTAGCTTATTCAGAATACATTTTTTATAATTAAACAAAAGTTGGTGTTTTTAAAAATAATAATTAATTATATATGTATATTAAATTAATTTCAATGATAAAAATATTTCAATGATGTTTTAATACGCTGTCAATATCTTTAAAATGTATTATTTTTTAACATTAAGGAACGCAATTACTTTCAAGATTTCTACAAATTATAATATATATAAAAATATTTTGATATATGTGTATGATATACATGTTATCCATTACTCTGTGACATATACTATTTGATTTATAAGTTTCTAGTTATTTATCATTTATGAAAGCAATATCATGTCCAGCTATGCTATGAGTTATTTATGATAATCTAAATATTCCAAAGCAATATTCGTGTTATGATTTTAACAAACTTTATAATTTGTTTTATATATATATATATATATATATATAGACTTATCCAGAACCTCAAATAAATTAAATTTTTCTTTTTAAAGAATGTAATTAATCATATATCACAACGTTTTTCAATTTTGCACGCATGTGTGAAATGAATACTTTATTCATAAATATCTAAATAAAAAAAACTGTATTTATATATATATATATATAACAAAAAGTAAATACATTTGAATAAGATACAAAACCTTGATATTCTCGTGATTTTGTATTGCATTCGAAATTTGTCAGATCACTTGCATTTCACACATAGTGCAATCGCAGTGATAATTTCGCGGTTTAATAATTAAAATTGAATTGGGATGAGAAAAAGGCTCTTTTTTTTATCGTGGCGCGTACCTGATGCCTTCTGTCCGATTTTCGTGGCAGCATAATTAAAGTGTCACGCGAGAAGTAATGTTGATAGGGTGTAAAAGTAAGAAGACCGAAGTAACGGATGCACGCCTTTGTTCTTTAGCATTGGGGACGGTAGTGACGCGAGGGGCAGGGCGGATTTAGCTGTGAGAAATTAAGCAATTAAGCCGCGTATTTTACTGGAGATCCGAGGTTCAACCAACTAGTCTTCCG